AAGACGGGGCCAAGTTGTTGCGGTAGGGCTCTGTTCGACGTTCGACTGGACCCCCTGGAGCATGAATAGTTACTTGACGAACGTCTTCAACGCGACTGTAACGGAGTAATATAAAGGAAACATAAATTATGCGCGCTGTTGATGCGTTCTAATAACAACAAAACAACTGTTCAGTGCTCCCTGTCCACCTTTGCATAAATTCTACTGACGAACTACGGAGATCATCGAAAATTCAGGGAATCCCACTGAATGAATGAGATAACGTATCACCATTTCTTAAATTAATGATAAATATATTGGGTTTTGATAATAGCTTATAAACATTCAGCAGAAGAGCATTGCAACTAATACCACTTTTCACTTTAAACACTGTTGTTATGAGGCAAACATAACATATTAAAAATTTTCTGGGCTGTAAACATTAAGTCATTCCAGTGATGATAGAATGTTTGTAAACTAGTTGGTAACGAATTGTGAGAATTTCATGTTACAGCAAAAGGAATTGATCTGATACTCCCTCAGAAAAAATCTAATCGGTCATATTTTGAGTTTATTTTCAAAACTCAACTGGATCGAGAACAATCTGTTTCGTGATCAAATCGGACAGATGAATCGGACAAGATGAAACTTGGGATCTTGGTTCATCTAGCATCCGTTCACGCGACTTGATCTAAACAATTACGTTGGTTCGGCATATATCGATCAGTCTCGGTTACAAGCGTGTCAAAATTCGGGTGAACAGACATAATCACGTGATAGTTTCTGGCTGAATGTTCTATTGGGTTTGGTTAGTTTACCGTAACTGCCGAGGTACTACCTACTACATCATACATACACTCGTTCATATGAAGTAGAAAATGAACAAAAAGCGTAGGACATTCGGCTTTTCGCAGTTCTTTCCCAGAACACAGAATTTAATGTCCGCTTTTCTCAATCTATAAAATATGATCATCAAGTTATGAAATTAATATAAAAATCCAAGCAGAGGTTGTTTGAAAATAATTCCCCAATCAGCTTTCTCGGACAGCACGGGAACTAAATTATACGGAGTTGCTTTATGTTACTTATAGCGCCCATGTGAACCAGGTGTTTTTCCCTGTCTTTCCAGAAGTGACGAGCTTTTGTTTCGAAACAGCTACAGGCTTCCATCGGATGGGTGGAGCCGTCTCTTGAAAACACCGAATCTGGTTGCACAGAATTTCGTGATTCTATTCTATGCTACGTGATTCGTCATTGATATAAGTGGAAAGAATTTATTCTAGGCACACAGGCAAAACTAGAAAAGGGCCTACCATGCGTTTTAATTCATCAGGATTCATGCCGATTAGGCGCCTGTGGAAGTCAATGTACACACGCATGCACGCACTGTTGATGCTATGGCAAACAGTTTCAAACAGCTGTGCAGAAAGTACTGCTTAGCCTCTAGCCAAATGTTTCCCATGTTCTGAAAATCCGGAATTCTTAAAAAAGGTTTCTGCTATCCCCTAGCTTATTAATAGCTCATGCAATACATTATCCCTGATTCTAAAAATATGTAAAAATGGCTACTAATTTGCGCAAGCTGAAAACGACAAGTTGAGTCGAGTCAACAATGCATTTTGTTTGATGAACGGGTGGACAGGTTTTCAGTATTTTACTGGTCACGTTTCAAGAGAATATTGTCTGTCTAAAACAAATTGTAAAACGGAGACTTTAAATGACATAGAAAGAATAGGTCGTTATAAATGTAACAAGGCAATCTCTTGTTTTAAGTATTCAATCATTTATTCCAAACAATAAATACTCGGAGTTTGAAAAATACTATGACTGAGAGTTCAACTCATAATCCAAATAATCATTTGCATTTGATTGATGATGTGAGTATTTCAGGGCAATAAGCAAGGCTGTTCACAAGTTCGAGAGACTTTTTCACTAGTGGCTAACTGTGGAGCCACATGGATATTTATCTTGGCTTGCACATTCACCAAAAGTACCTACAGTACGGGGCCGGGGCCGATCATCACCAGCACAAACACTGACCCCAGCAATCAAGAACCCTTCGCTATTCGACATCAGGATGTTCTGAAAGAGTTGCTGACACTCAACCCAATAAATCACCTGGTCCCGATAG